CAAATGTCTCCGGAACCACAAAGATAATGCAGGGCAGGGGTGAGTCTTTGGAAGGAAACACCATGGGGAGATTATGGAAAAGCTATTTCCAGTCTTGAAAAAAAAATTAGTCTGAATAGAGAGCGCCGTCTCTGGGTGGAGCACTACACACAGAGCTTGCAGCTGCTTTTAAGACATTCCCATGGGCTCGAAAACCATGACCATAAACAGCTGGATCCATTGTGGCAATGCACAGGCAAAACTCCAGCATCACAGGACAACTAAATATCGCAAGGTCCCTAACATTCCTCCAACACTTGAAGTAAGATGATGGTGGTGATGGTGATGATGGTGATGATGATGGTGATGATGGTGATGGTGATGATGGTGATTATGATGGTGATTGGTGATGATGATGGTGATGGTGGTGGTGATGATGATGATGGCAATGATGATGGTGGTGGTGATTATGGTGATGGTGATGGTGGTGATGGTGGTGATGGCGGTGATGATAATGATGATATTCAATGATGACAACGATGACAACCACACACTTCAATGCACCAGCCATTGTTTAAGTACTTTCCATTCCTTCAGTGTCCTAGCCAAGAGGCCATTTAGTCTCTATTTGCATATCTCCAATGGCAGGGAGCTCATCACCCTCAGATGAATCCATTTCATCACTGGAGAGTCCCAGCTACACTGCTGTGTATCAAGCTGATAAAGGTGTCCGTTGGTTCTCACCCACTGACCCTAGTTCTGCTCCTAATAATGGAAGACTTCCTTCTCTGTCAGCTGTCCCTGGTGACAGTGCCAACTTTCCTACAGGTCCTATTGCTGTCTCCATGACTCTCCAGGGAACTGCAATTGGTTCTGTTTCTTTGAACAAACCCACCTGAAGGCAGATATCTCAACGTTTACTGGCCAGCAGGACAGCCATCTCGATGCTTTAGAGAGTCTGCTTGCATCCAGGCAACTCAGCCTCAGGTTTATCTTCCTGGAAGCTCAGGAATGTTATCGCGAGAAAGAGAGGGTGTGTGAAAGAAAGTGCTGGGCGAGAACACTAGAAAGGGCTATGAGAGCTCCCAGCATGCCACACGTACTCGTCTGGGTGTTATCCACAGCCGGGGTCCCACTGACGGTTGTAACAGCAGAGTAACAAGGTGGTCAGATCTTGGAAAGAGTGCAAAGATGGCCTGGAGAAGTCCGGGTGGGGATCAAGGAGACCTGGTGGATCAATAGGAAAATAGAACTAACATTAGGAGTGCTTAGACCAAGTTCCTGAGAGGGAGACTAGAGAGACCTCACACTCTGGGGCATCAGAAACACCTTGGACACGTGCTGGAAACACCCATGGCCTGGCCCCACCCTACATCCATGAATGAGGCAGGACATCTGCATGTTGAAACCATGGCCTCCAAGACATAGGAGAAAAAAACGACAGGGCATGGTGGTGAAGAAGCTCTATGGTAGAAGAGGAGAGAGCTTGTGCATGAATCAGGACATCTGCCCCCGGACACAGGAGGGGAGAGGCTGTTATACAAAGCCAGGACCAGGGCCCCACAGGAGGAGAAATAGGATTGGAGGGGAAGAAAATGATTTCCTTCATCCATGCTGAGTTTGCCTGCTCCATGGAACTTCCACGTAGAGACGCCCAGCAGATGCTCAGGAAACAAAGCTGGGCCTCCCCTGGGTGGGATCTCTATGGGGGCGCATTTCCTTCAAATCTGTAGAATCTAACCTCTTTTTTTTTTGTAATTAAATTCAAAATGACATCTCTGGACTATAAATCCAAACTCTGGATTGGGATGAAGGTTAAAAAAAAGAAAATTTTTAAGTCAGATGCTAAAAGGTCTAATATAAACTCATTTTTGAGGTACAACTTATAAGTAACTTTCTATTTTATTTTAAAAATTGCCTTCAAGGCCTGCAAGTGTTTACACACAACGGGCAGTCAACGAGAGTGGGTATTGAAATATCAGTGTGGTTTTTCACAGGTGCTGGAAATAAACACAAGTCCTGGGGAAAGTAATGAATGAACTTGAAGACGCCGCGGGAAGTTAACCTCCTGGAGGAATAATCGCACACTCTCTGTCAGGGCAGGCTGCACGCCGGAGAGGTACTTGCACCCAACTTTGTTCCCGTGAAAAGCCTAGAAGCACTCCGTAATGAGAGCGGCTGGCAGGATCCTGACGATCTTTAAAAATATCTACCCTCTCAAAGAGCTTTCACACCAGAGTTCTCTCGCCAGCACACGGCCCTTGAAAGCGCCGATGGACACGGGGCAGAGAGGAAAAGCCGGGTCACTCAGGGGAGAGGAATGTGGGGAGAGGCAGACCTTCATGGGGAGAAGCCAATGAGGCCGACCCTGGGATGTCTATGATGTAGAGACTGGAGTGCTCTGGGCTTTTCATTTTTATCTGCTTTGAAGAAATGTGTAAGGGGGCACTTCTATGTGGAACAGGCGGTGTCATCATTTTGGAAGTCACCTGAAATCTGTCACTCCCTTTTATAGGGAAGCCCCTCCATGCACTTTGATCCCCCAGGGCCTGTTCCATCCTGCTGGCCTCATTGGGTCTGTGGGGTCATGTGGACCGAGGTGGTGGAACCTGTACCATTTTAATTTCCACATCCACAGCACTAGCGCAGGCTGGGTACATAGTACTTCCTCAATCAATGTCCATTGAATGGATGAATTAATAAAGGAATGAATGAGTGACTGAATGAATGAATGAATGATCTTTGAAAATGATCTTTGAAAATATGCCCAGAATGAGCAAAGTGCTATGTCTAAGCAAGAGCTGAGGCAGAGCGGAGATAAATGAGGTGAGCAAAGACAACCAATGGCTCCAGAAAACATCAGAAAATAGGCCCTGGGAGCCACGACTTCAAAGTCTCTGCCATTGCCTACGCCTGCTATTTTGCACCCTCCAACAGCAAAGCACCAATCTACAGTCAACATGAACATACACTACCGACATTTTTAAATCAACCTGAGTTGGTTTGGCCTGAAAAACGACATCAAGCTAGCACTCTTTGATGTAACTTCTTGCAACTTCTTATTACAATAATGCTGGACACAGAAAAATAATGGTAACATCAAGATATGTTGGAGAGGCCTGATATTTTGAAGCCAGATGGTGTGATAAGGGCTCGGCCTAATTTGTATGTAGTGCTCACAACCCTATAATGGCAGCATCATCAACATGAGTAGTTTACAGAAGAGAAATCAGAGGCTCAGAAAGATAATCCATCCACTGAACCATCTCTCACAACGGCCTTGACATTGAGCCCCGTGCAAGCACCTGGCCAGATCAAGTCTGGGTGCTTAACTCAGAGGACAGGACTGAAGCCTGGCATTCCTGGCCTGCCCCCCTCTAGCACTGCTGAATTGAGGGACCCCACACAGAAATATAAGAACTGGCCAAAGCAGGGAACTAGGAGCCCTCTTATTTTAAAAATATATATTTTTTTATTGATTTCAGAGAGGAAGGGAGAGGGAGAGAAACATCAATGATGAAAGATAATCATTCATCAGCTGCCTCTTGCACGCCCCACACTGGGGATTGAGCCTGCAACCCAGGCAAGTGCACTGACCGGGAATTGAACCATGATCTCCTGGTTTTTAGGTTGACACTCAACCACTGAGCCACACTGGCCAGGACCTCTCTCATTTTAATATCTTCAGCTTTAAGTGGCAACCTCACTGCTGCCCCTTTCTTCCACCTCTATTAGAAAGCTCCAGCTCAGCGTATTTAGCTGTAAAATGGAGATACTAACTAACACCAAGGCTCAGTATATTGGCTGTCCTCTGCTAAGGCTTAATCAACATCAGGTAGTGTCACCATTTCTGTTGTGTTCATTCACATCATTAGCATAAAGAACATTTGGCATCAAGGAACTCAAATTACAATCTTATCTATAAATTGGCAAATGGGGGAGAAAGCCCGAATAGGCACACCATATGCATATGTCGTCTTTGGTCAAAGCAGGGTCTGGGGACTTCTCCCCTCACCTGAGGGTGAGCTAACAGGACAAGGGACTTATGGGAAAGGACAGCAACGATGCAGAACAAGAGGAGGGGACATACAACCTCAGTGTGAATGGCCCACAAAAAATCAGAAACAGAGAATTACTTAGTGCTAAGTGTTTCCAGAAAGGGAAATTGTCTGGCATTATTGGGCATCTCCAGTGGGAGCCCAGCCGGAAGTCACACAGAGTCAGATGACAACTGCCTGAGAAGGAAAAGGAGACGAGTGTTGTGATAAAGACTGTAGGACCCTGGGGGTGCTTCGGATTTACAGAGGAGGCACTAAATGGTAGAACTAAGACTGAAAAACAATGACATCAGCAACGGGGATCAAACTTGACTAGGTCTTTTAGGATTCAGACCCGAATATCCTCCTTCCACTCCTCCTTCAAAATCCAACTCAGATGTCTCTTCCGCTGTGGAATCTTCCCAACTTCCCCACCAGTGCTGGTCGTTATCCCTCTGGGCTCTCCGAAGACCAACTTCCACCTGTGTACTCTTGACATTGATCTATAGTATCTTTCCATCACCACATATCTGGGGAGGAATCTCCTCTGGCTGTCTCCCAGCTGCATGGGAGGGCCCTCGTCGGGCTCTGGATTTCCCCATTTGTTTGTATTTTGTTGATTCCCATTGCCATGTGTCCAGGCGCTAGTGAGAACCCTGACTTCAGTTAGATCCACTGGAGTTAGTGGTGAGAATAACACCCACCGGTATGACTAGGCAGTTTACACATGAATTATTCATGATCACACACAGGGACACACAGAATCTATTCGAGGAATCTTAATCCTGAAACCAACAGAAAGACTCACATATAAATCACCCCTCCCAAGGCAGATGACCAGAGAGATAGCACATCTCAAGCAGCCCAGCAGGCAGACACAGGCCCTACCCTCCCAAACCAATGGCATAGCCGCCCTTTTCCACAGGACCGGTTTCAGGCCCTGCCCCCCTCCATCAGTCATAAATCTTTCCTTCAGCACTCCCCTGTCAGCAGCTTCCATTCCTTCTGTACAACTGGGACACGCCACCTGGGGCCATGGGACAAGACCCAACTCAGCACACCATGGGGTGGCAGGGGGTGATCCATCAGGGCTTCTCCCTTCTGTTGGAAGAAAAGAGGCCACCCGCTCACCCTCCTGCCCGCCCCCCATCACACACAGAGCCCTGAAAGGCTGGCCCAAGGACTCCTCTGTCCACACGCATACCTGGCATTCCTGCACATGGCTTCCTCCCTCACTTCAGAGGCCTCTTCACAGGTAAGCTGGGCTCAAAGGTGTAGCCATTCCCCTTAACTGCTCCCTTCCTAAAAGTTCTGTCCCCTTAATCCTCCTTCTAGAAAAGTGCTTCCAGAGATGGGTGAGGGCAAGACTGAATACTCATTAAATGCTTACTAAATGCTAGGCATTGCAGCTTACAGCATGCTGTGATTGACAAAGAAATGGCTGGGTTTTGTTTGTTTTTTAATTGAAGAACAAAAGAAGCTAAGAGATTTTGAAATAGTTCACTCTGTGACACGCATTAGTAAGAGGAACCAAAACTGGGATTAAAACCAGGGCTGTCCATTTCCTAAGCTTATGTTTTCCTGTGGAAAGATTTCCCAAGTAAAAGCCCCCCTAGCTCCACCCTGCATCCCTCACTCTGCCTGTTAATAAAACAGGAAAATGAAGAGGAACAGAAAAGAGAGGAGAAAAAGAATCTGGAAAGCACATTCCTCCTCCCAGCAAGGCCCCCATCCCTAACCAGCAGCCAGTCAGGAAGGGCACTCTGACCGCTCTGCCCCGGCGAGGGGCCCAGCTCCGTTCCCCTTCATATCCTCCTTTCTGGTGTATTTCTCCCCCCAGGCCCTCCCTGAGTGGGGTGGGGTGGGTGCTGAGGAAGGCAGGGTGTGGAGCCGCAGCGCCCGAGGGAGGCCTTCCCACCACACACCTGTGCACCCTTCAGCCTCCTCTTGTGACAGCTGCTGTAGACCTTGACTTTCACAGAAGCCTGTTTTCGCTGAACTTGCATTAAACAAAAACCTGGAAACATGGGTCAACAAAATCCAAACATTCACCTCTAAGGAGCTCCAGCCCTCCTGTCCATTTCCTGGAAGCAGCTTAGCAAACACTGCAAAGGGAACCACGCTCCTTCTGGATCCAACCCGCCAAGCAGCCCCCTTGACCTCCTGTAAAGTCCCAATGTTTGACCTTGACTTCCTAGGCTCTGCAGGAACTTGCCTTCACAGTTCTCCATCCTACTGCCACTCATCTTGATAGGCCTATAGTTCATCTTCCTCCTTCCTCCCTCCTTTCTCCCTCCCTCCCTCCTTCCTTTCTTCCTCCTTCCTCCTTTCTTCCTTCATCCCTTCTTTCCTCCCTCTGTCCTCTGTCTTTTTCCTCTCTCTCTCTCTCTCTCTCTCTCTCTCTCTCTCTCTCTCTCTCTCTCTCTTCTTCCTTTCCTTTGTCCTCTCTTCCTTCCTTCCTTCCTGAGAGATATTGAGCAGCTCCTCAATCCTGGATGCTGAGTTTGGTGCAGCACAGACACAGTTTCAGAGGCAAATGGGCTCAACACTCTCCATTCTGTGCCCCTGTGCATGCACACCCTTCACCTCCTCTGCCTGAATAGACCCTTCTCATCCTGCATATCCTAAATGAAATATCAAGGGTTTCTTAAGAATTCCCCCTGTTTCCTGCAGTCCATCCTGAGTTGGGGTTGGGCACCCTCCACAGTGCTCCTCCCCTACCCTTCCCATGGCATTCCTCCTCTTGGGCGTCATTGTCCGCTTAACTGCCTGTATCCTCAACTAATCTGCAGGCTCCGGGAAGGAAGGTGCTCAGAGGCTTTCTAGACACACCTTAGTGCTCCTTCCCCGACACACCTCAGTGCCTACCAGGACCCAGGCTCACCCCAGCAGGTCATTTATTCCTCGGAGAGAAAATGGAAACCCTAAGATAACAATGCCCTCAACAGCCACCTCACAACCCACACTCACCTGAGGATGTCCCCACTTCTAGTTCTGAGGCCCAGACCACTACATTCAATTGCCTCCTCAGAACCTCTGCTGGGACTGTGGCCGTCAACTCAAACCCAGATCCTCAAAGACAAACTCATCGTTTTCCCTTTCAAACAACCTTGTGTGATTCTTTGTAGGTTCCCCCAGGACACAGCCACCTGAGCTACAGCTCCGAGGTCGCCCCCGAGGCTTCCCTCTTCCTCACTCCACACATACAAATGACAGCTCGATCATGTGGATTCCAGAACCCAAAATAGCCATTCGTCTTTTCACCCCTTCATGGCCAACACGCTTCTCCATGTCTCCATCATTTGTCTCCAGGATTTGAAACAGCCTCCGAACATGCCCTCTTGTCTCAGCCTTGGCCCTGCCCATTTGTGTTCAACAATGCAGCCAGAAACATCTTATGAAGCAAACCAGGCAATGTCACTCACTAGCTTAAAACCCACGAACACCTTCCCACTGGCCCTGGGAGGGATGATGTCTGCATTCCAGGGCAGAGCCCGCAAGGCCACTCAGATCCCAGCCTCCGCCTGCCTTTCTTGCTCACCTCTAGTCACTCCTCCATCACACAGTCTCCAGCTAGACTTGAACCCTTGAACCGTCAGTTCACAAAACCCCCTTGTTCTTGGTGGCTTTCTCTGCCTCGTTGCTTGCCTGGGCGGGAATGTCACCTCATTATCACACACCAGTCAAGCCCAGCAAGCAATGCGGTGACAGGGACGCCCCCTCATGTCCCTGTGGCCCCATGAAAGCTTTGGCTGCCGTGAAGTGGACCGTGTGAGCCCACCACAGCCCAGATGTTCCCTGAAATCCCCAGCAGGAGCTCCTGCTGCACCTCATTATCACTGTCCCCTTAAATAACAGCAGCGCTGACACCCCTGCAAAACCAACACATGCATATTTGATCTGTATAAACAGCGCATATCATAGGACACTTCCTTTCAGAACTCCCTGACGCTGGAAATTCAAATGAGAGCTCACAGTCCCTGGGACTGGAGACTAATGAGGGCATCATAAATATTTGATTAAAGACAGGCCAAATTCTCAGGTTTTTGCCTCACAAAATTTTCAGAAGCAACCACTCAAAGATTTCTTGAATATCAGAGCACTTTGGGGGGACAGTGAGAAGGCGGCTTCTGCTATTTCTCCGGAGTGGTGATGGGCATTTGGCTCTCTCTTCACTTTAAAATCGTCTTCCACCTCGAACTCTTGGTCAGTGTGCTTGTGTTCCCGAAGAGACGGAGAGATGAGAAAGGACCATTGGGCTACTTACCGGAACAGTTGCTTCTCTACCGGCTGGACTGATTTCTGGCTCTGTCCACTGGGCGTGGGTGTTGAACATCCCTCGACTTCAATGTGTTCTTCCAGAGGTGGTGAGAAAATAAGTGTTTGCCAAATGAGACTGACCTTGACCTTCTAGAAACTGTCAAGGAAATGCAATGGGTTGGGATTACTAGTTCACAAGCGGGGCTAGATACCTGGTCCCCTCAGAGAATTCCCCGTGTTGGGATTCTCCAAACAACACCACTTATCAAATTAAAAGCCAGAGGACCCACTTAGAAAGCCATCTATATCTGGATAGTTAACAATATTCTTAACTTTGGCCATATTGATCATACTTTCATGGGAATTAAATAATGCGAACTGTGAAGAAAATGTTTGGAAGAGATTTTTTTCATTGCAGTGTACTCTAAAATAGTAAAATCCTGGGGGAGAGCTACACAGCCAATAGTGAAGTCAAGTAAATTATCATATATCCCACTAACAGATTGTGTAGAAAAATAAAGCCATAACAAAGATACCTTTAATAATAAGCTTACATTCTTAACACTAGTAGATAAATAGAGTATAAAATCCATGAGGTATAAAAAAATAGAATATATTTGTGCCCTGGTAAAATTATTTCATCTCTGAATAAGAAAGGGAGTCCTAATTAAAAATCAAAGGATAGATCATCAAAAATGTTAAAATCCTGAAGCAAAATATACCATAAATAAAATCTAAAGAAAACGGCACTATAACAAATATAGCAAAGATATCACTCTTCTTATTTAACAAACACATACAAACTGATAAGAATATAATTACTCAAATAGATAGATGAGTGAAGAATATTGACAGATCATTCAAGCACACAAAAGAAAAAAGTTTCATTCTTAAATAAGCAAATAAATAAATGAAATAATATAACAAATGAATTAAGAACAGAGTTTTTGTTAAAACAATGCAAAGCTAGGGCTGGCTGATGTGGCTCAGTGGTTGAGCATCGAACCAAGAGGTTACTGGTTCCATTCCCAGTCAGGTCACATGCCCAGGTTCCAGGCTTGATCCCCTGCAGGGGGCGGGCAGGAGGCAGACAATCAATGTTTCTCTCTCGTTGATGTTTCTCTCTCTCAATTCCTCTCTCTTTCTCTATCTCTAAAAATCAATAAAAACATATTTTAAAAAGATGTAACTGATCAGCTGGAGGAGGGAAGTTATAGAGAAAGAGCATTCTGATGCATCATTGGAAGAAATGTAACATAAATAGAAAAATTTAAATATAAATCAGGAGTCTTAAAAAAATGTTTATATCCCTTACCCAGTAATTTCATTATAGAAGCCTGTCCTCAAAGAAACAACTACATAATCTACTAAAGTTTTATACCCCAAGATTCATCACAAATGACTTGAAGTACAAAAGTTCAAATGCTATGAATTCTTATAGGGATAATTAAAAACTGGAAGGAGAATATCAATTTTGAAAGTATTTGGTAGATGTGCTTCTGACCTCAAACTATTTCTGAAGCAAACACAAAAGAAGAAGTATAAAAGAGAAAAAAATTCTATCTTCTGTGAAACCAGGTGAGATATTTTGAAGTGAAAATCAAACTGGCATAAGCTACTATATTGAAACAGGATAGGCAGTATGGCCACACCAGGAGACCACAGATTCTTCAAAATATAAGGAGATGCTGGTGTGGCAAGGAGTCTTCATGGACGGCCGGTCAACACTCAAACCTTCCCCCACCCTGCCCTCGAGGTGCCCACCCTCCTGGTCCTTCTCACTCACTCCATCCTGCAGCAAAGAGCTCCTCCGGAAGAAACTCCCATTCTAACAATGATGCTTAAACCCAACAGAGAGGAGAAAACAAAACCACAGACCAGTCTCGCATGTGAATATTGATGAAAAACCCTAAATAAAATATTAGCAAATAGATTCCGGCAGCACATAAAAGCGGTTTGAGGATGGCGATTCGAGCACACACAGAGCCCCCTCGTGCTGCACCCAATTCATAGACATGACAGGAAAGCCATTTTTAAAACAAACAAGTAAATGCACGCACTCACAATAAAATGGGGACGCTGTCCCAGTAAGAAGCCCCCGAGAGGAAGCGCAGGGGGGACATGAGCTTCAACACCACACGGCGGCTCCCGCAGGCCCCTTCCTAAACAGCCACTCCACACCCCACAGTGAAGTCGCGTCCTTCAAGGCCTCAGCCCTCAACAACGAGGGAGACGGGTGTGAGTGGCCTTGCTGTGCAGCTAAGCCTGCATGTCCGAAACCAGGAGCACTTTATTTCTCAATCACCAAGAGTGCTGTCCAGGACTGTGGGAGACTCCCCACTCCCAGACCAAGACTCAGGGGCCAAGTCGGCCGGATGCTTGGCCATCGGCCCCAGCCATCCACATCCATGGGCAGATGAGGGAAGAAGGCGGGGGATCCCAGTGGGAAGTTTCAGGAGCCAGCCATGGAGGTGAGGTATGTCTCCTCAGCTCACATGCAAAACGAAATGTCTAAAATTAATTTTAAATCTTATATTGCTGAGAAAAATGAATAACAATATAGGAAACTGAGGTGGCAGAAGGAGGAGGCAGGAAGAGGGTTCTAGTGCGAGTCTAGCATAGTAACAGCCATCAGTGTGGCCCTGTGTGTGGGCATCATAGGGGGCAACCAGGATATACTCCCAAGAGCCCCAAAAGCCCCACTTTATGGGGGAACCCCACCTTAGAGGAGGCGTCCCAGGTGACCCAGCTGGATGGGCTGGTGCCTGCCTGCTCCAGACTCCACGCCACCTTGAGGTTGGCGGGCCTGAGGGAAGCCTTTCAGCATCTCTGACCCTTAGTTTCTTCCTCTGTAAAATGGGAGGGGAGGGCACGAACAATTTCAAAGTCTTTGCCAGCTCAGAACTGAGGAGTGCTGCTTGCGATGACAGTGTCCCCAGCGGGAATGGCCACATCGCCATCACCCTGCATCCCGAGGCATCTTCCTGAGCAGGTCTCGGAGGCTCCCCCAGGCCATGCTGGGCAAATGAGCTGCTGTCAATGGATCACAGGAATGACCTCAACCACCCCTCTCCTTCCATCCACGGCCTTTGCACTGTGACCTTGTCCCTACCATCAAGAGCTGATGTGTCCATTCCCCTCCCTTGACTCTGGGCTGACCACGGGCCACAGAGGAAGGAAGGGCAGGTGTGCTGGCTCCTGGGGGAGATCTGGCGAGGCCCCACAGGCCTCTGCTCTCACCACCTTGGGCCGAGGTGGACCAGGGTCACGCTTCCCCTGGCTGACGTTCTTAGTTTCCTGTATTGGCACGAAAGGGCACTTACTGGCAATCGCACTTCCACTTATATTAAGTTGCTCCTGTTTCAGTTTATTGTCCCCGATCACAAAATCATTCTCTAATCTTTGCAGGAAATTTAGAATGCAAAGTGCAAAGAGAACCAAATGTCGCCCATCATCCTCAGTAGTATGACGTCATTACGATGCTCTAGGATGCAATTTTGTGTTTGAAATACGTTTTTGAAAAAGCATTGCATGCACACGCTTTCCAAGTGCAGACAGTACCTGGAGTACACAGTGAAAAAGCGGTCACTCTCCCCCTAGACTTCAACCTGGCCTCCTGGCCTGAGGTGACCTCGTTATAAGACGCTCTGTAACCTTCCAGGAGTCCCTGAGCACTCAACCACGTGTCCTGGATCAACCGTGTATCCTGGATCATCCATATCTATTGTGCTTTTTTGTTTGTTTATACACATTTGGGTATTTTTATACATATTTTCTATTATGCTTTCTCCCCGTCAGTATCAAAGATCATCCCAAATGGGACATTCAGATTCATTTCACCCTTTTAAGTAGCTGTGCAGCCGTGGTGCATAGAAATGCTGCAATGTAACCAGTCCCTGGGGACGGGACACACCGGTGATTAGCAGCTACCTCAACTTTCTACACCCACTGTCCCCACAGAGAAGTCCACTCTCCATCTAAAAGCCATCCTTCGAAGGTGACCCCTCTTTTCTGTCTGGTTGCTTTTAAGTTTTCTTTCTGCCCATGAGGTTCCGCCATTTCTCCACGATGTATTCTAATGTGGCCTTTTCTTTATATGGCTTTGTATTCAGTTATACTTTCTATCTCGGGACCTCACGTATAACAGGCTGTCCTGCCATCTGACCATCCCAGGGCATGCGAGTGGGTCTGTTGGTCACACCTAGGCAGGTCCTGATCACCTGAATCAGGAGGAAAGGAGCCCCAGGTGCAGGGAGTCACACCCATCCTTCTCTGAATTTCTAGGGGAATTCCAGAGAGCAGGGCTCCACCATCTGGGCAACAGCAGCACCCAGCCCACTTCCAAGTCTCCAGATGTCAGAGGTCGGATCAAGGACCAAAGTTCTCAGGGGCCAGCCTTTAGCTTAGTGTCAGGAAGGGTTTCTCTTCCAGCCTACAGTGTGTGAGGTTCATGGTCACTGCTCATGAAAGAGAAGCCAAGATGCCCACCACCTTTCCTCCCCCGTCTAAAGGTCTGCCTTGGATACTTGAGCTTGAATGGGCAGGACTTGGAGATCCTTTAGTGACCATACCCACCCACACACAAGCCTTCAGGGAGAGTCTACCACGTCTCAAAGGCTGCATCCAAGGTCTTGGTCAAGTGCATACCCAGGCCTGCCCAGCTTCAGACCCCCAACATGGCACCCACAAAGGGGTATTGATCTTGGCAAATTTCTTGAACAAACATGCAAAGGTAGAAATGCATGTGGTGAACCAGGGACGATGAAGACATTGGCAGGATTTGAAAAGAAGACAGCAAGTCATTGAGTGCCGAGTCGGCGGCGGTGGGCAGTTTGGGGACCTCTGAGATGGAGAGAAATCGATGGAACAGCAGGCAGGAAGGCTGGAGACACGGCCTGCTTTCCGAGGCCTGCTCACCGAGGCAGCCAAGGGTGAGAATGAGAAAACAACGGCCTTCATGAGATTTTTATTAAGAAGCTGAAGAAGATGTTAAGTAATGGCTTATTCGAGTTCATACTCTCAGCAGGGAAACAACCAATGATTTCAGAGAACCGTATTATTACTTTGTGCTTGCTTATCTCTCTCTCTCTCCCTACCTGATAATCATCTGTCGCTCCATCGCTCTTTTTAAGGACATGCGAGAAAATAGAAAAGCTCACAGACAGCAGGCAAAGAATTGCATATGATTACCTGGCTTTCCTGTGCTGACTCTGCAATTGTTTGTTTTTGATGAGATAACAATGGAGATAGAATTGTTCAGAGCAAATGCTGCTCAAATTTCACCCAACCATAGCTCCCTGTCCCCTTTTGTGCACACTGCTCCTCCCTTCACCAAAGACCCTCGGGGACACCAGCACCACTGTCAATGGAATGAGTTGTGAGAGATAAAA